GATTTCCACGCGCCCGTGCGCATATAGAAATGATGACCGCATGAGTTTTTCCACCAAGTTGCGGGTGGGTGGGTTCAGTATCGTTCAATCGATGCCCATCCCCATGGGGTCATTTTATCTCAGCCCCACCACTCCATCCATCCAGTTGGGGACATGTCCTGCGAAACCCTTAGGGACCACCATAGATGATCCAGGGTTGCACAGACACACACACACACACACACACACACACACACACACACACACACACACACACACACACACACACACACGCACCCTTGCAATGCATATGGGATCGAGCCCCCCCCCCCGCTGGATGGGTACCCCCGTGAGCCTCGCGAAGGGGATTCCTCCCCCCACCTGCGGTCGCGGCCCTGTGGGCGTGGCGTGGTGGAGGGTGCTGGTGCCCCCCCCCCCGTGGATGTGGGGTGTTTCGTCGTTGGCGTCGGCGGCGGCGTGGGCGGTGGGTGTGCGGTGGTTCGTCGTCGGCGTCGGCGTCGTCGTCGTCGGCGTCATCTTCCGTCGTCCATCGCCGTCGGCGTCGTCGGCGTCGTCGTTGTCGTCGTCATCGTCATCGTCGGCGTCGTCATCGTCGTCGTCGCCCCCCTCATCCCATCTGGGGGGGAGGGGGGGGCTGTGGAACAATGGGACCCATCCTGACTGGTGGGGAGGCTGTGAACCCTCGACCCCGGATCATATATATATATATATATATATATATATATTTATCTTTGGGGGGCAGGCCCGGGACCCATAAACAGCTGCCCCGACCCCCCATGGGAGGACGGGGCGGCCGGGGAGGTCCAAGATAGTCCAGGAGGGCCTCCAGAGGCTCCCCCGACGGCCCAAACGGGCCCCGAGTCGCCGAAAGACCGCTCCTGGACGCCTAAGATAGGCCCAAGACTGCCCGAACCCCCCCCCCAAGGCACTCAACGACGTTTCAAGACGCCTCTCCCGGCGCGTCAAGAGACCAAAATCGTCAATTTCACAAAGGTTTTGAAAGATTTTGGCCTTCCAGCATTTTCGGCTGTCCGACGTTCCAGGCCGGCTCCATAGGCCCCCAAGAGCGCCCCAAGACGGCCCAAGCGGGCCCCCAGACGGCCCCAGAGGCGCCCCAGAGAGCCCCAAGACGGCCCCACGATGCGCCCAAGAGCGGGACCACGACTCCAAAATTCGACCCTCCCGCTTGAAGAGTGCCCCAGGAGGCCCCAAGGAGCCCCCCAGAGGCCCCAGGAGGGCCCGAGAGGCACCCAGAAGACCCAAACAAGGCCTCAAGAGGCCAGAAAACAGCCCCGAGGAGGTTCCACAACGGTCTCAAAATGGCTACCGAGAAGCTGCGAAACTGCCTTCACGACGTCCCCGACAGGCCAACCACGAGATCCAAACCAACACCCATGAAGCCTCTGACCCACCACCTAGGGCACCCGCCGCCCGCCCGCCGTCCGCGTAGCACGCACCACTTTGTACTCAACAGCTTCAGTCTCCAAGACAACACCCTGTAGTCAACAGCCCCCGTCTTCAAGGCAACACCCTGTACTCAACAAGCTCCCGCTGCAAGAGAGCACCCTCAAGGAATTCAAATCCCGACCCGCCCGCCTGCCCGCCCGCCACCCGCCCACCCGCCGCCCGCCCAGCCGCTCGCACGCCTTCCGCGTAGCACGCGCCACCCTGCGCTCAACAGCCTCCGCCTCCAAGACAACACCCAGCATTCAACAGCCCCGAGGGCTCCCGGGACTGCCCGGGCCCGCTCCCAAACACGCCACGACACGCCAAGAGGGCCCTAAAGATTGCCAAGACAGCCCCAAGAGGCCCCAGACACGCCGAAGATGGCCTCAGGACGGCCGACGACGCCGCCAAAACGCCCCAATAGCGCCTCCAGACGCCCCTCCAAAGGGCCCCGCATTTTGCGCTCTCGCATGTTCCGCCTCCCCACGGTCCCGGACGGCGTCAGAGGCCGTTCAGATCGCTCCAAGACGGCCGAAGAGGTTCCCACGGAAAGACCAGAGACGGCCCAGGAGGCTCCCCAGATAATTCAAGAAGGCCTCGAGAGCGCCCCAAGAGTTCCCCAAGAGCGACCCAAGAGGGCCCGAAGAGCGCGACATTTCAAGGTCTCCGGCCTGAGAGGCTCCTAGGACGCCCCCGGAGGCCATCAGGAGGCTCCCAAGAGGCCCCCAGGACGTTCCAATAAGCCCCCCAAGGGCCCCCTAGGGAAGCCCCCTGCGGGCCCCCAAGAGACCTCGGTAATTCGTATTTCCCTGAGCTTTCCGGGAATATGATTCCTTTGGTTTCCGCCCACCAAAAGGCCTGCCGACAAGGCCAAAAAGGGCCCCTCGGTAAGCCCCCAGAGCCCCCCCTCTTAAGAGAGCCGGACAAATCATGCTCCCGGAAAGCTTCCCGGAAACACGATTCTCGGGTTGCCGCCCTCTCCCCAAACCATGTTTGTAAACGCTTGCCAGGATAAAAAAGCGAGAGTCCCAAGCAGCGCTGCCTGCCGCCACGCTCGGAAACGCGCCAGGCCCCGAAGCCTCCGGAGGCGCCCAGCGACACCCCAACCAATCATGTTCCCAGGAAGTCTTACGGCCAGTGCCGCCGACGTTGAAGGAGGACGGTCCAGGACACCCATAAATCTTCCAAACAGGCTTCCAAGAGGGCGCCGAGACAGCCCAGGGCCGCCCCCAGACGGCCTAAGCAAGCCCCAACACAGACGAAAAGGGCCGCAAGAGGCCCCCAAGAGGCCCCGAAACGAGGACATATCGTTCGAACATGCCCAAGATGGCCTCCGGACGGCCCACAAGGCTCCCAACACGGCCCAAAGGGACGCCAAAATCACCGATTGTCTTTCGGCTTTTGATGGATTTCAGACACCCCATGTCGCCCCAACAGGCCCCCACGAGGGCGCCGAGACGGCCCAGGGACGCCCTGCCGCGGGCACGAGGCGTGGCCCGGGACGGGGCCCTCGCACCGCGGGGCCCGGGAGCCCTGCCTTTGCGCTGGGGGCCTTGAGAAGTCGCCCGAAGGCGGCCCTGGCGTTTCAGACACCGAAACGACCAATGACCGCCCGAGGTCACCCCAGAATTGGTCCCTGCCTGACTTTCCGAGAGGCTTCCAAGACGCCCTAAGAGGTCTCCAAGATGGCTCCCAAGGAACCCCAGGAGGCACAACTAATTTGTTTACCTTTGGTTTTTGATAGATTTTCGAGTTCTCGCCTTTTGAGTTTCCTGACGCTCCACGACGGCCCAAGAGGCTTTAATTTCCGCTCCACGGCATCCCCAGAGGCCTCGAAGACGGTCACAAGACAGCCCACGGGGGTCCCAAGACGGCGCCAGAGGCGCCCAACGCGGCCCGAGAGGGCCCCAGGACGGCCCCAAGATGGAGCCAAGAGAGTTGACACGAACCGAAAATCCGAGTCTTCCACCCCGAGAGGCTCTCCGGAGGCCCCGAGAAGCCCTAAGAGGCTCCAAGAGGCCCCAAGAAGCCCCCCAGGGGGCCGAAGAGTATCCAAGAGGCCTCCCACGAAGGCCCCAAGAGGCACAAATCCATGTCTTGCCATAGGTTTCTGATTGATGTTCGAGTTTTCAGCCTTTTGGCGTCATGACGCTCCAAGACGGCCCAAAAGGCCTCCAAGATCAATCCAAAATAGCCCAAGAGGCATCCAACAGGGCCCAAGACAGCCCGATAGGGCACCAATACGGCCCCAAGGGGGGCCCAAGAGGGGTAAGACGAATCGAACATCCGAACCTTCCACCCCGAGAGGCTCTCAGGAAGCCCCAGAGGCCCCCAAGTGGGACCCAAGAGGCCCTCAAGAAGCTCCCCAGGAGGCCGAAGAGGTTCCAAGATGCATTTTTTTCCCATCGGCTTTTGATGGATTTTAGAGTTTCCAGCCTTTTGGCATCCCGACGCTCCAAGACGGCCCAAGTGGACCCCACGGCCGCTCCAAGATAGCCGAAGAGGCCTCCAAGAAGGCCCCAAGACGGCCCACGAGGGCCCCATGACGGTGCCCGAGGCGCCCAAGACGGCCCGAGAGGGCCCCACGAGGGCCCTAAGAGAGCCCCAAGAAGGGGAACGCGAACCCAACAGCAGAGCTTTCCGCCCTAAGAGGCCCACAGGAGGTCCCAAGAGTCCCCAACTGGTCCGACGAGGCCCCCCAAAGCCCCCCACCAGGCCCCAAAAGGCTCACAGGAGACGTACACGGGGCCCCACGATAGCCGAAAAGTGTTTTCGATGCATCACAATTGCTTCAAGGAGGCCCGGGGAGGCTTCCGGATTGCCCCAATGTGGCCTCAAGCCGGGCCTCCACGCAGCCAAGACAGCCAATTGATTGTTTCAGACTGCAGAACATCACTTTCCGACTGCCCGGAGAACCTTGGCGATGCCCCCACGGGACCCCGAGAAGCCCCAAGATGCCCCCCCGAGAAGCACCCAAGATGTGCCTCCAACAGCCAATTGAGGAAGCACGGAGAATCCCCCAGAAGCCCTTCAGATGCCCCCACGAAGACCCAAGAGGTTCCCAAGAGGCCCCCAGGAGGCACGACCATGTCATGTGTTTATCCCCATCTGGGGGGGTACGGGACGGGTGGGGTGTTTGCACGAGCACTGGAGGTGGTGACGCGCGGATGTTTGTTGCGCGGTGGCGGCGCCTCGCCCCGCGCCTTTGAGCCAGCCCGGCCCCCCCGGGCCCCAGCGAGTTCCGTGGAGCATCCCATGGTCGGCTCCGTCGTTGTTTTCGATGTTTGTGGATTTTGTCACTTTCCTCCGAGTCCCTTATCTCGTTCGCTTTCGCCCTCCTCCTGGGAGGCCCTCGTCGCCGCGGCTGGATTCGCCTCGAAATTCTGATCAGACACACCCTGGGAGAGGTCTGGAAGGTAGTGGTATTGGTACCTTTGGATTTCCCCAGTCTCGGGAGATTTCTCCCTTGTCCAGGCCTCCTGGGGGGAATCTTGGGTACCCGAGCCCGCATGCACGTGCCTGATTTGGAGAATTCCACGTGGTTGGAAGTGAATTGCAGTTTTGTTTGATAGATAAATGTCCGGTCCTGCTGGTCCTCCAGAGCGAGTGGGAGCAATGTGGGAAGTAGATTGCAAGGTGAGGGAAAGCCGTTCCGACAAAGCATGCGACAGCATGGTCGGTTGTGATTCTCGACGCTTGACGTGTGGCATACATGTTACATGGTATGTCTCCAGGTGCCTCGCCACATCGATACCACCCAACGAACGTTGACGGGTTACCCGCCCCCAGGCTCGGGCAAGACGTTGGCCTACTTGTTGCCCATGATGGTGCACATCATGGCGCAGGAAATTCGGCCTTAGCACAGGGCACGGAATGCAAGATGGTAACCTCATAATCATCAGCACCACCATCATCATCATCATCACCATCATCAATGGTTTCATCATCATTATCATCTTCATCATCATCGTCATCATCACCGTCATCAACATCATCATGCTCATGATTCTCATTATCAGCATCACCACCACAACCATCATCACCATCAGCATCATCATCAACATCATCATTCGCATCATCATCACCATCATCATCACCATCATCATCAACATCAGCATTATCATCATCGACTCTTCGGCCTGGAGGGGACCCACACGTTTCCCAGTGGAGCGCGCGGGGGCAAGCAGTGAAGTCTCCACCGCATGGTGTGGGTTATGTTAACACCCAATTACTTCATGGCGATTGCTGTGCCTCGGCACGATCTTCGGCGTCTACAAGACGAACAGTAGGCTGTTCCTTTCAAAATGGGTGAGATCTTCGACGCGTTCCACAGTGCGCACGTCGTTCGGTTGACGGGCCCGGGTCTATCACATGCGAAGGCATCTGTCGACGGCGCAGTGCAGGATCTGAGAGTGTCGAGGGAGGCCTACGATTTGTACCAATGGTTCACTTCCGCGTCTTCGAGTCAGGTCCAGAGACGGCGGAGACAGGACCCCGCAGCAAGGACCAACATCCCCACGGGCTGCATATTGGCAGTTCAAACGCATTTTTCGGGCGGGCCCACTTCGTGCGACCCTGGCGTCCGCCAAAGGCGCTGCAAGGACGAGGTGGCTCACTTAATTCTCGATGGCGAGGTCATTTTGACTTGTGGTTTGTGGTTCATACCAGCATGCTCGCCAATACTACCAAATTGTAAGCGAACGCAAGATGTTGCAGATGCTGGCTGTTTGAATTGTTTTAGTAGTACGAGAACTGCAGAGCAGATGTGCTTCCATTACATTGGTTCCTGAACACTTCCATGTTGAATTTGAACGCATCCACCCTGTGCGGCACCACAACTGCGAGCGGGACGCAGTTGGACAGTTCGGAGCGGAACATGAAGGCCAACATGGCATTCGTATAGTCATTTGATGAATCGTCCGGATTTTTTTTCGTCAGCGACCAGTTTGAGGACGGATGCGGCCGTTGTCGGCGCATGGGTGAAAGCCCCACGACGGCCAAGTGCATTGCAGTTTCACAAGAGATGTTTCACCATGTCGCACGGTGCCAGGTCTGGAACCGTACTTGACACAAACTTCAGTTGGCGGACGGCGCACCTACGGACGTGGATCACGCTCCCTTGGATGTAGATTTGGAATGCGCGGAGCTGGCGCTGGACGGGCACGGCCCCCGTCAGGTGGGAGCTCAGGAAATTCCTAACGGCTCGTCGACTGGAGGTCAACACTCAGTCCGTCTTCTTCAGACGCCTGGACAATTGCCCGATGGGAGACGCCACCAAGCATTTCATGCAGCTGGCGTTCGGTCAGCATGGCGTGGGCGGTAGCTAGCACTAGTTGAACGGAGCACTACGTACCCCTGGTGCGGACATGTTCCGAGCTCCCCTTGCGAAGTCGATTGCGGCTGAGCCCGAAGAATCGGGCCAGGCTCGCATATAATAGCGCAATGACTAGGCGAGTATTGTTGGCTGAGACTCCAGAGGGCGAGGCCCGCGAGGTCTTGCGCGAGGTCTCCGACGCTTCAGGTCTGCGCGTTCGAACGTTGAAATGTCGGGGCGCGAGGCGGCGGCGGGTGGGCTGGGCGAGGGGGGGCCAGCGAAGCTATGCGGGCCCGGGGCGGCCGCGTTGCTCGACAGTCTTAAATCGCGGGGGCGCGCTTAGGGCCCAAACGCATGTAGCCCCCCGAATATTCGAGATTGGGATCAGCGCGTGGGATTTGTCGGCCCTGATGGGGGCGCGGGGCTTGCGAGCCGCGCGAAGGCGCCGCGCCAGAAGCTCGCCCAGCCGTGGAGTGGGCGCGTCTGTTTTCCAGCGATCTCATGCAGCGCCATCGCCGATCCGCCGGCCGTCGCAGCGGCGGGGCCGACCTCCCGGTCAGAACCCCTCCTTTCTCGTGCTCGCGGCTCTCCCTCAGCTGTTCCAGACGCGCGACGGAGTTTCCCGGGGTCTACCTCGGAGGCGCCTCAACAGCGGCGCCCGCGAAGCATTTCCAGAGAGGTCTGCGCCCCGCGAGATCTGGATAGACGCGCGCGCTGCCCCTCCCCCCGGAGAGGATGGTCCCGGCGCGTGAGTTGGCGCGTTCGTTGACAAATCTACGCAACGTCCAAGGGCGGCCCGAGGCGCGGGGGCCGTGCCAGACTTCTGGGGCGTTGGCTGGGGATGTGGAGCAGGCAGGCATAACGGTGACATGATATGCATTGTCAAGCAGGTGAGCGGGCCATTCATCTCCCTGGCCGCGCGCGTAAAGCCTTCGTCGGAGCGGCCCAGGGGCGTCGCGCAGGGCGCTCGACGCATCGTTGCGCGGGCTGTTGGAAGGGGCGAAGGTGCGGGCAGGTTTGTTTGTAGCGGGAACTTGTGCGATGGCTGCCGGCAGAGCAAGTCCTAGGTTGGTTCGCGGCGTTCCATGATCCCGCGAGACTTTCGCCTCGGCCCCCCGCTCCGCCTGCGGCCCCGCTGTCTTTGAGTCCCCTGCCGCTGCCGACGCGGGGCTAGTTGCCGAGGGGGCGCCGCCATGTCAAGACCCCGTTATAGAGTGCTTCTGGGGAGCAGGGCTCGTTCGGGATAGGTTCCCGAGACTCGCGGGGGGATCGGGCGTCGTCAGATCGTTTCTTGCATGCGTTCGATCTAGCTGTGGATCCGTTGGTTGCGCAGGCCCAACCAGAGCGATATAGATTGTTTTCGCGATCGCGGAACCTCCCGCCGCCGCTGCTGCGGGCGTTCCTCGCGGCGCCTGCGCCGATGATATAGGGCGCGCTGGGTTTTCCCGCGGGGCCCGGGGCGCCGCGCGGGAAATTGGGCGCCGGGTCGACTGGCTCGAGACTGGCGCTGCGAAACCTGAGCCTCGGGGGGGGGCCTAGCCCAGAAAGAGCCCGCGTTTCGGCGGCGCGGGAAGGGTGCCCGACCGAGACGGAGGCCTCCTCGTCGATGGACCCAGGCCCCCAGAGAAGTTGGTCTTGTTACGCGACCCCTTGCGCCTGTCATCGGACGGACGGGCGGGATTATCACGAGTGCGGGGAAAGGCCGAATGCGGCGAGGAATGGGCGGGCAGCGATGAGGCATTTCTAGGGTCAGGAGGACGTTCCCATGACAATCAAACGTCCTGTGTTCCGATGCTTGGTTTACAGTTCGAATCTGTCTGGAGGGGAGGAGATGCCCCCCGCGCGGCAGCCCTGCGATCGGGCGGGCCAGCTCGTTCAGACTCGTGCCGGGGCGTCGCCGAGGGTCGGGGCCAGCGTCGTGGGACGCGACGGGGGGCGCCCGACTCACCGCGCCATCGCGGATTGGCCTGGGCCAAAAATATCCCAGCGCCCGCAGGACAACGGTGCACTTCTGGTTTCTCTTTCTGGTCGCTCTGGGCAAGGTCGCGAACGGATCGCGTCTTGGGGGGTCAACTCATCGCGCGTGCCCATGGTTCAAGCTTCTGGGCAAAGACTTTTCTTTCTTGGGTCGATTGGGTAATTTGAAACTAAGTTGTCGGGAAGTCATGGGGCATCGGGGCTGGTTCAGACTTTACGAGTCGGGTGCGCGCTTCCTTCGGCCTCCATGGAATCGCCGGTGGCACAAGCATATCGAACAGGCCTGGCTCTGATGCGTGACCTCCTAGAGGACGGGGCGCGAACGCTCGGCGCTCATCGAGCACATCGCCATCGCACTCCTGCTCGGTGGAGACAAGCGGCCGCGGGTGACCCATGCTCGCGGCGCGCTCGGTGTTTATCAAGTATAGGCACTTAGCGTCCGCCGCCGTTCGGGGACTCGAGGAAACATTGGCCCTCCAAGTTGCCCTGTGGGGCGGCTCAGGCACGTCGGGGCTCGCCGAACTTCGCGCCCCAGCTCCTCTTGCGCGCCCGTTCCGCTGCGCGCCGTCAGCTTTTGCATATCCCTTCTCTGCGCGCCCATATTCGCGAGCATTTTCCCGGCGGCGCATTCGTTGATATTCAGAATTTCTTTGGCGACGGGCGAGCTGGCGGCGTCGACGGCGCCGGCGGACGAGCTCCGGGCGCTCGGCTCGGCGAGCGTCGATCTGGGCATGAGCGGGCCGGCCGTCCGCGCGGCTATGGGCGCGGTCGGCCTGGGCGGGTCCAACCGGCGCCTCGCGTCCAAGGCGCCGCGCGTCAGTTGGCAATCGCGGCGCAGCTCCGCCCGCATTTCGAACCGATCAAGATGGGCACTTTGCCGGGCGACGCCGAGGAGAAGTCGACCGCGACTCCCGGAGGGGCGGCCGCGCACATTCCAGCCGCTGTTGGTGCTTGGGTCGAGCTTTTGAACTCCGCGAAGGCGGGCCGGCCCGTCTTCAATCAGAAGAAGCAGGCGCCGATCGCCCGCCGCGGCGCCCGCGCTGGCCGCGCCGCCACTTGCGTCCAGGAGAGGGCGTTCCAGCAAAAGTCGCGCGACGACGAGGATTGCCTTAAACTCGAGCTGCTGGCCGACCCAGAGACGAGGCCCGTGGCGAACGAGATCGCGGCCGCGATCGCCCCGATCGCCCTCGAGCGCGGGGTCGAGCTCGCGCGAGGGGCCCCGCCCCGCTACCCTAACAGTGGAAAGATCGTGCAGGGCCTCGCGGAGATGGGTGAGTTTCAAGAGCCACAGTTGCCATGTCAGAAATAAGCTGCGCTCGCCTTGCTGGCGTTGAAGCGCGCCGCTGCGAGGGGGGCGCGCCATCTGGAGTGATGCACCGTTGTCGCGAGGAGGCTCCTGGCATGCATGCGCGAAGCCATTCGGCTAGCCCGCCTGCGTTGAATTCGGGGGGGGGGGGGGGGGGGGGGGGGGAGGGGAGGGGGGGCGGAGCCGGGGGGCCCTCCTCTCATTGAAGTTGCTGAGGCACCCCGCCGACGTTCAGCAAGTGGCGACGTTCAAGCAGTGATTTTGCAGCGACGTTCGAGCTTCTGGATGCGCCCACCTGGCCTGTGGACGGTGGAAGCTTTCCTTGCTTCTAGAGCCATCCCTGTGCCAGCGAGGGGGCCCGTGCTCCTTGACCAATTCTTTAACGGGCGAAGAACGGTATAAAATAAACTGTTTCGCTGTCGGGGGCGCCTGTCCTTGGGCGGCTGGAAAGTTTATACCCTTACGGTGGCACCGTAGGGGTAGAAACTTTCCAGCCGCCCAGGGACAGGCGCCCCCGACCGCGAAAAAAAAAACTGTTATACCGTTTTTCGCTCGCTGAATTCTGTTTGCCAGACCTTGAGTCGCAGGGAGTGCGCAGGGTGCCTCCCGCCGACTTGTGAAGGGCCTGCAGTATATACCCTGCGATCGTGATTCCAAATTACCGTGGTTTTTTTCCGTTCTTTCGATGTGGGTTCTTTGTTGAACGGAGACAAAAGGGTATCAACATCGCCATCACCATCACCATCGTCATCATCAACACAACCATCACCATGATCATCACCCCCCGTTTCGTCATCACCGGCGTCGCCACCACCATCGGCAGCAGCATCATCATCATTGCCATCCGCGTCGGCATCGGCATTTGCGCGCAGCGGAACTGGAAGCGTGGCAAGCAACAGGCCCCGATATGGAAAGCCAGTGGCGGCCGTGTTGCCATGGCAGAGACGATGGTCGAGAGCCTTGCCTTGTACACGCTTGCTTTCCCAGCTATTGCCTCCTTCCCCGACGGTAGACGCACGTGGGACCCATGCGACCGAAGGAAGGTTCTTGTGATCTAAATATGGGTGTACGCGACCCACGCTGAGCATCAGCGTTCTGTCATCGCCTAATGAACAACGGTTTGTCCGTTCAGCATATCCGTGTGCATGCAGCTCGATCAACATGCTTCCCAAAGCGTCGTCTTCTCATCCGCGACCTTTTTCTGAAGCGTGGGTGGGCTCTCGGGTACCCAGTACAACTCTTGCACACATGTGATACGTTTCCGGTTGAAGGGATAACCAATGGTTCAGTGAGAGGCGTTTTCCTATCCGATGTGTGTTTGCGTATTTTTCATCCGTGCTTTTTCTTTCGTCCCCTTCGCCCCCTGTATCTTTTTCGTGAGGGCCGAATCCCTTTTGTTCGTCCTCCTCCTCCTCCTCGTCCTCCCCGTCCTTTCGCAAAATCAGTGCATGGACCTGTTTTTGGGTGTGTGTGTGTGTGTGACGCAGACTTCGATCGGAAATCCGGCCGTGGCGACGAAGCGCCTGTTGGAGGCACATCGATGGCGAACAACAGTTTCGATCCTCCTCTTTCCCTTGCAGGAACGCTGCCTTGCTGTCTCTGTCCCTTGTTGCCTTGCTGACCGCGTGCGAATCCAGGAGGAGCTGAAGGCCAACGAGGGCCCTGTGGGCGTGGTGCGCTGGAGAGCTTCTTGGCCGAAGCTAGGGGTTGGTTGGGCACCTCCTCCCCCTCCCCATGTACCCTCGACCGCTGAGGATCGAGATTTTAGCCACTAGCTGTTCATCCGTTCTGTTGGGCCTCCTGATGCTTTCAGGGAACTCGTCGTCGTCGGTTTGTTTTGTTCCCTACCTAGGCTTTGCCTAGAAGGGTTCTTACTCTCTGGGCTTAAAGGGGCCGGGCAGTGGAAAGCGCCCCGGGCGGTTCCCCCAGTATCCGCCCCGCGGTTCCGCCAGTTACGTCCCCTTAGCTTAGCGTTTCTTATCTCATTTTCGCTTAGCCTAGCTTGACTTAGCTTAGCTTAGCTTAGCCTAGCCTAGCTTAGCTTAGCTTAGCCTGGCCTAGCTTAGCTTAGCTTAGCTCAGTTTAGCTTAGCTTAGCGCAGTGTAGCATTAGCATAGCATATCATATCATAGCATAACATAGCATAGCGCAGCATAGCATAGCGCAACATGGCATAGCATAGCACAGCTTAGCGCAGCATAGCATAGCATAGCATAGCTTAGCTTAGCACATAACAGTGCAACATAGCATAGCATAGCATATCATAGCATAGCGCAGCATATCATAGCATAGCATATCATACCGCAGCATAGCATGTCATAGCATAGCATAGCATAGCATAGCATTGCATAGCGCAGCATAGCATAGCATAGCCTAGCATAGCATAGCATAGCGCAGCACATCATATCATAACACGTCATAGCGCAGCATAGCATAGCATAGCATAGCATAGCGCAG